ATAAAAATATTGTTTAAAATAAAGAATGGAATGGAGCTTCCTGTTTCCGGGTGTGGGAAATGGCTGACTCCCATACAACCAGACCCCAGTCGTGCCAGTAATTCAGGACTGATATGGGGGTAATTAGCCCTGGCCGACTCCCCAGGTTGGGAGAGGACTGTCTAGTAGACCTGCAGATTGCCCAAGAATGCTGACTTGCATCAAGGTGCAAGCAGCAGGACATTGGGTTGCAAAGCACAGTACGGCTGGCACTCTCCAATGCCATTCTCATAGCCGGGAACATCTGTTTGAAAAAAATGAATGGATTTGGACAATAAACAGACATGGACTGGATTGAAGAAGCTTAAGAAAAAAACCTGCAGATGTGTACAGTCCCTGGGGCTTTAAGCTCAGTCTTCAAAAAGATTATCATCATGGTGTTTTGATGTTAAGTGGGCGAGGGGACGGACATGTGTTTGGTATGTCCCCCCCACCCACTTAACATCTACAATTGGTTTTCAATGCCAAGTCTCACTAGGAACTTATTTTTTTTTTAAAAAAAGAGAACAGATGGACTTCTATTTATAATTAGGCATTTAATTGTGCAGCTTTACTTAAGACTTGAAAGACCTGATAAAGATGGAAGAGGAGGCAAGATGGCGCTCGCTAATATGACACAGCATGGAAAAATATGTTCCTCCCTTTCTTTGAGGGAAGCAGGAGTTATGTGCTGGCTGATTTTACAATGATTTGAGATAACAACTTGGAACAATACACAGTGCAGCTGTTTGCAGAAGTTTCTTATATTCATTATGAGCGAGAGAGAAGACTAAGTGGTGTCTAGCAGCCCCTCCTCTAGGGCCTGGAGGGGGGAGAGTGTGGTCCCCAAAGGCTGATCAATCGCCAAATGACTGATATTTGTGGAATACAGTTTATCTACATTGCAATATTGCAAACAATTTTGCCTAACAATTTAACTTGGAAGATACTGGTTCAATAAAGTTCAAAAGGAAGGTTTGGACAATTAATGATTGGGAGTTGCTGCACCATTAAACTTCAGATAACAGACTTGGACAACATCCCGGATTGGAATGGAGTCAGAGGAAGCTGCGCTGATAAAAAGGCAGTTGGAAAAATATATACTAACAAAGCTGTATTCGACGGATCAAAGTATATGATGTTTGACATGATTGAGAATCATGGACTCAGGGACGGAGAATTTTAAAGCATCAAAATCGAGATGTGGAAAATATGGAAACAACCAGGAGAGGCAGGACCGAGATGTGGAGATATGCTTCAGAGATGCAGACCATGGGGAGCTCCGAAAAATTAATAATTATAATTTGGACCATAATTTGGTCTTTTTATTTTAGTTTTTAATTTTAATTGAAGTATTATGATTGGATATATTAATTGGATGCTTTTATTGGAAAATCAATAAAAATGATTTTAAAAAAAATAAAGAATGGAATGATGATAATTTCAGAATGCAGATGGGCTCTGAACTTCAGGAATATTGTGAAAATCATGAAGATTCAACTTTGTCCTGACAGTTGAATGGGAAGATTGCAAGGCCTATATGAGATTGAGATTTATTTTATTGCGGCCATTGGCCCATATCGAAAACAATACATCAGAATTTATCCATAAACAATACAATTTAAACAGTTCCAAGTTAAAACACCCTTATAAAAACCGATTTTACTTTAGTTTAGTAAACACTATACACAATAAGCTCCCTCTATGTAAACCGCAATTCCGATCCATCAGATTTTGGGGGGTATACGTCTTAGTTCTGGCACTTATTGATGGTTCTTAAGTTTAGCTAAGCTGTCAGAAACATACAGTGATCCATTTCTCCTCTTTTGAAATAAAACATTAATCAGGTATCTAGCGACTGCAAGGGATCTACTTGTATCTTCGTCGTTTAATAAGTATATTATTTGGGCTTCCTGAGGACTGTCAGCAATTCTCGATAAATATGGGGCCAGAAACTTGGACCGTGAAGCCGAATGTAATGGACAACAGAAGATTATATGATATAACGATTCTATAGATCCGCTTTTACAGTCACAGAGGAGTGAGATCTGTCCGTTGGAGAGTCTGTTACCCAACACGTTTGATGGGAAAGCATTGAATCTAGCCATTATAAAGGCATACCTGTGCGTCACCACAGATAAGGTAGTTAAGTAAGATGGAAGTTTCGTTGGTGGTGTTAAGCCAAGGTTTATCGGCGAACAGGTGCCACCACCTGTCGCAATATTAAATTGTAAATCCATCTCCTCTAATTTGTGAGTTATAATTCTTTTGGCCGAAATTAAATCCAATTTTAATAGTTCAGATGGAGATAGTCCTAGGGACACAAGTTTCCCATGTATTATTTTTGCCCAGGGGCTAGGGAAGTCATCTCTCCAGAGGCACTGTATCAAGTGGAGATTTGGAAGTTTATGCCATAAAGCCAACCAATAACAGAGGATGCATTTCCATAATGTGGTTTCTAGAGATGTAACATTTAGTTCCAGTCGTATAGCAGTATTGCTTACACACCTGGGTAATTTTAACAACCTTCTTAAAAGCTGGTTTTGGATTACCTCCAAATGGGTTAGATTAGCAAAGGACCCCCATAATGGGACTGCATATGCTATTGTTGCAATCACCTTTGCCTTGAAAACTTTTAACACTGATGGAATATGGAAAGCCCCATCTGAAATTAAAAAAACGCAATAGCGCATAGGAAAGGGCTTTAGCTCTGTTTAATACATATGCAACATGGACCTTCCAGCCCATGTTGTGTTGGAGAAAGACTCCCAAGTACTGAAATTTAAAGACTTGGTCAATAGCTTTTCCGTCTATTCTCCAATTATAGGTTTTTCGACTCTTGGTGAAAATTAGGACTTTGGACTTAACATGGTTAATTGTAAGAAAATTTGATTTGCAGTAAACATCGAAGATTTTTAATGCCCTCCTAAGGCCGACTCTTGAAAAGGATAGGATCACTGTGTCGTCTGCGTAGAGTAGAAGGGGGCAACGATATTGGGCAAGGCGGGGGGTGTGGATCGTTTCTTGAGCCTCTATCAGAGGCGCCCTCATATCACTTATAAATAGATTAAAAAGGGTCGGAGCAAGGATACATCCTTGGCGAACACCTCTATTGATAACTACTGAGTTTGAGAGGTCGCCTGCCGGAGTGATTCTCACCCTAGCGGCCGATCCGTCATGCAATTTAGTTATTAGCCACAAAAGTCTTTTGTCTATTCCCCATCGGGCTAATTTTCCCCAAAGCAATCCTCTGGGGATGCTGTCAAAAGCGGCCTTTAAATCAATAAAGGCCGCACAAAGTTGGCCTCTATTTGGGGAGGAGTATTTCCGGGCAAGGTGGTATAAAATTAAGACCTGATCAACCGCTGACTGATTCGGTCTAAAACTAGCCTGTTCAGGCCCAATCAGGTTGTTCTCTTCGGCCCACTTAGTAAGCTTAGTTAACAAGAACCGTGCATATATTTTCCCAATTGATGACAATAAACTGATATTCCTGTAATTTCCCGGGTCATCTGTCGAGCCTTTTTTATGAATTGGAACAATAATTGCATCCTTCCATATTCTTGGTACCTTCCCACTGTTGTTTACGGCATCAAAGATAGCGGCCAGGATTTTCGCCCACCAGTCTGCATGAAGTTTTATAGCTTCCGCGGGACTAGATCAGGACCGGGGCTTTTCCGATTTTAAGATTAGAAATAAGTCCGTGGATTTCTTCCGGGTCAGTGGGTGGCCAAAGAGGAGCTGCTCATAGACTCCATCGATTGTATTAATATTAAGGTCTGGTAAGGCAAAATAATTCCTTAGAAAGGATTCCCAAATTGGGGCAGGAATAACTGTTAAGGGGTATCTTTTAGATTTTCTGTTAACCAACAGCCAGAATTTTCGGGAATTACGGGTACTTGAGGCAGCTATAAGTGCTTGCCAGCGGTTCAATTGCCATTCCTGTTTGGCCTTTTTCTGCACATATTTGTAAGCTGATTTTGCCTGATAGTACTCCTTGGGAAGCGTAATCGCCCCTGAGGATTTGTAATCATTATAAATAGCACAAAGGTGTTGTTTGGCTTGTTTGCAATTACGGTTAAACCACGGAGCACCTGTCTTGGGGTGGGCCCAATTTGCCTGGTGGGTTGGGACAGAAAAGAATGACGTGAGGTCATTCAACAGATTGGCAAATAGATTAATAGTTTGATCGTGATCATATGAAGTTATGCCAAGGGCTGAATAGGTTTGTATGATCTCCTGCTGAAAAAATTCAGAATATTTTTGAGCCTGCGTTACAGACCACTTTGTACCCTTCACTCGTAATGCCTATATGAGGAGAAGGACCTTGGCGTACACCTAACAGTATTATGAGAAGTAGCATAGGGCTTCACAAGAAAACAATTCAGATAAAATGGTGGTCTTTATTGAATCAAATAGCAACATGTCCTTTCCCAGATCTTTATTGTGCTAAATAGTTTAATGTGGTAAATATGAATTGAATAATTTACTTTCAGCTAAAGCTGAATTTGCACTGGCATTTTGTCTCAGAGATATTGGGAGAGTGGTTCAATCTGAAAAGACAGATTACTTAGACTTTGTATTTGGTGTAAGGAAACACACTTAAGATGAATGTGTTGCAACAGACAATTCATGTGCTTCACAGTATTTTACAGTGGTACCTCAGGTTAAGTACTTAATTCGTTCCAGAGGTCCGTACTTAACCTGAAACTGTTCTCTTTTCTTTATAAGATATTTATTAAGATTTTCAAAATATTACAAAATAAAAATAAAAAAGAAGAAAATACAAAATAAAAATGGTTAAAAACAACTCAATCTTTCCATTACTTATTTTTCATTAGCTTGTTTCCCGGACCTCCTCGCGCCTCCCTTTTTTGTATTCCAGTTCGGTTTGTTGGTTCAGCAAATCCCTCCCCTCTTTGTATATCCTAGTCTTTAATCTTAAAATATTGTAACGTTAAATTTTTACCTATTAATAATCCATTTTTCATATTCCCTTATAGTATTACAGCTGAAAACCACTTATTTTCTATCCAACATCATTCTAACATTCATAAATTTTACAATATTTCTGTAGATAGTCTTTAAATTTCTTCCAATCTTCTTCCACCAACTCTTCTCCCTGGTCTCGGATTCTGCCAGTCATTTCCGCCAGTTCCATATAGTCCATCACCTTCATCTGCCATTCTTCCAGAGTGGGTAGGTCTTGTGTCTTCCAATACTTCGCGATGAGTATTCTTGCTGCTGTTGCATACATAAAAAAAGTTCTATCCTTCTTTGGCACCTGTCAGGGGTTCAGAGAGAGAGGCACAGGGTAGGCAGGAGATGGAGAGCGAGGGGGAGGAATTCCAAGCCAGCGAGGAAGAGGATGACAATGACTCAAGGGATTCCATGAGTCTTTCCAGCGAATCAGAGGATTCCCAGAAGGGGCGCCGGTGGTCAGGGCCAGGGAGCCCCAGGGGGGGAAGTGTCAGGAACAGGGTGCCAGCGGAGGATCCCAAAGTGGCAGCTGGGCGTCAGGACCAGCCTCCCCACCAAAGTGCAGTGAAGGTGGTGGAGTTTCCAGTGTGTCAGAGGAAGCAGCTCCAGCAGCAGAGAAAGGAGGGGGGTCAGAGCAAGCCGCCCTCCCGGAAGTGGAGGGGAGCAGTGAAGGGAGTAGTGTAACTGTCAAAAGGAAAGTTAGAGGTTTGGCACGCGCGCCTAGTTCAAATGTAGAGGCGCGCGGAAGTGCAGGGAGTCCGGAGGAGGGGCCAGGTCCCAAAGCCCGCAGGAGGGGGGGAAGAGCAGTCTGATTCCGCGTCAGAGGAATCCAGAAGAGCGCAACCCCAGGGGGCAGAAGGACCCTGCGGAAAAGGAAGGAGAGAAAGAGGTGGAGCAGCGCAAGTCTCTTAAATTGGTGCAGAGGAGGGACTGACTCAGAGGGGACTTCGGCGATCTAGCGTAAGAGACGTAAGGCTGCGCGCCTTGGATGTCAAGCAAACCATGAACTGCAATAAACACCTTTGTATACAAGAAGACGTAGGCGTTGGTCTTTTGTGAGCTAAGACTTGAGGCAGCCTTGACAGCACCAATTGGCCGACTATGCCCAGGAGAAAGGCCTCTGGTTTCTTCAAGAAGGTATATTTAAATACCTTTTCCAATTCATTATAGATCATCTCCCAGAAAGCCTTAATCCTTGGGCACGTCCACCAAAGGTGAAAGAATGTACCTTCAGTTTCTTTACATTTCCAACATTTATTATCGGGCAAATGATAGATTTTTGCAAGCTTGACTGGGGTCATGTACCACCTGTATATCATTTTCATAATATTCTCTCTTAAGGCATTGCATGCCGTAAACTTCATACCTGTGGTCCATAACTGTTCCCAGTCAGCCATCATTATGTTATGTCCAACATCTTGTGCCCATTTAATCATAGCAGATTTCACCGTTTCATCCTGAGTATTCCATTTCAACAGCAAGTTATACATTCTTGACAAATTCTTAGTTTTGGGTTCTAACAGTTCTGTTTCCAATTTTGATTTTTCCACCTGGAAGCCAATTTTCTTGTCCAAATTATATGCCTCCATTATCTGATAATAATGAAGCCAGTCTCGCACTTTATTTTTTTAATTTTTCAAAACTCTGTAATTTCAGTCTATCTCCATCTTGTTCCAAAATTTCCCAATATTTTGGCCATTTGGCCTCCATATTGAGCCTTTTCAGAGCTTTCGCTTCCATCGGTGACAGCCACCTTGGGGTTTTATTTTCCAATAAATCCTTGTATCTCATCCAAACATTAAACAATGCTTTCCTGACAATATGATTCTTGAATGCTTTATGTGCTTTGACCTTATCATACCACAGATATGCATGCCATCCAAATACGTTGTTAAAACCTTCTAAATCCAAAATGTCTGTATTTTCAAGAAGCAGCCATTCTTTCAACCAGCAGAAAGTTGCTGATTCATAGTAAAGTTTAAAGTCTGGCAGGGCAAATCCACCCCTTTCCTTTGCATCAGTTAATATCTTAAATTTTATTCTGGGCTTCTTGCCCTGCCAGACAAATCTAGAAATGTCTCTCTGCCACTTCTTGAAGCAATCCATTTTGTCCACGATTTGCAATGTTTGAAACAAAAACAACATTCTAGGCAATACCTTCATTTTTATCGCAGCAATACGACCCAACAGTGAAAGCTTCAAATTTGACCAAATTTCTAAATCTTTTTTCACTTCGGCCCAGCATTTTTCATAGTTGTCTTTAAATAAATTCCCATTTTTTGCTCTCATATTAATCCCCAGGTATTTCACTTTCTTAACCACTGTCAAACCTGTCTCATTCTGAAACCTCTCTCTCTCAATCGGTGTTAAGTTTTTCTCTAATACCTTGGTTTTTAACTTATTCAGTTTAAATCCTGCAGCCTGACCAAATTCTTGAATCAGTTCTAAAACCCTTTTAGTACTAGATTCTGGCTCCTGTAATGTCAATACTAAGTCATCTGCAAATGCTCTCAATTTGTACTGTTTAGCTCCGACTTGTATACCTTTAACCAACTGGTCCCTTCTAATCATATTCAGCAAAACCTCCAGGACCGATATAAAAAGCAATGGGGAAATTGGGCAACCTTGTCGTGTCCCTTTTTCTATCTTAAATTCTTCCGTCACTACATTATTTACAATTAGTTTAGCCTTTTGTTCTGAATAAATTGCACTTATACCGTTTTCAAAGCCTTGGCCTACCCGCATCCCCTGTAGGTTCTTCGTCATAAAACTCCAAGAGATATTATCAAAAGCTTTCTCCGCGTCCACAAATATCAAAACTGCTTTAGTATTTATGTTCACTTCTAGTTTTTCCAAAATATCAATTATATTCCTCAAATTGTCAGACAAGTGTCTTCCCGGGAGAAAGCCCGCTTGATCCTTATGAATCTCTTCCATCAACACTTTTTTCAATCTCTTGGCCAAAATGTCTGCAAAAATTTTGTAATCCACGTTAAGTAATGATATTGGGTGGTAGTTCTTCAGCTGAGTCTTTTCAGTCTCTGTTTTCGGTATAAGTGTAATATACGCTTCTTTCCACGACTCTGGTGCCCTTTTCCCTTCCAATATTTCATTGCAGACTTCCTTTAAAGGTTGTACTAACCACTCTTTCAAGGATCTATAATATCTAGAAGTCAGCCCATCCGGTCCTGGAGATTTGCCCAATTGCATATTTTGAATGGCACCTTCTACTTCCTGTTCAGATATTTTATAATTCAACATTAATTTACTTTCTTGAGAGATTTTTTGTAATCCATTTGTCTTCAAAAATCGGTCTATGTCCATTTCTTTCTGTGGCCCTTGTGTATATAATTGTTTAAAATACCTCTGGAAACAGTTTCTAATCTCAGTTGGGTTATGTATGTTTTTTCCTTCCACTTCTAAATTTGTAATAGTATTTAATTTTTGTCTTTTTTTCATTTGCCAGGCCAGCAATTTCCCACATTTATTAGCTGATTCAAATGTTTTTGTCTCATTTGTTTAATTTTCCATTCTATTTCCTGATTCATCATTTCCATATATTGTACTTGATATAACTTTATTTCTCTCAAAATCTCCTGCGACTTTGGTTTTGCTCTCAATTTCTTCTCACTTTCTTTTATTTTCTCCAAAATTTTATATTTCTTCTCATTTTGGCTTCTCTTCTTTATTGCATTCTGTTGTATCAGGAACCCTCTCATAACCGCTTTGCTTGCGTCCCAGATTACTCTTTTTTCAACCTTAGTGTTCATATTTATCTCAAAATAGTCCCTCAAGGTTTTTTGGGCCTTTTATACACTTGTTCATCTCTGAATAAGGTGTCATTCATCCTCCATCTGAAGGAGCCAGTTGATATTAGTTTCATCTCCATCCTTACAGCATTGTGGTCGGAGCAGGTTTTTGGACAAATTTCCACTTTCTTTATCTTTGGTGCCATTCCTCTAGTTACCCATATTTGGTCAATTCTAGTCCATGTCATCTTGGCTTCAGAAAAGAAAGTTCCCTCTCTTCCCAAGGGATTCTTTGTTCTCCAAGTATCAACTAAGTCCAGGTTGTCTGTCATCTCAAAAAAATGTTTTCGGTAGTCTACCATCCTTTGTGACTACCTGTCTTTGTGCCTTATCCATATTTGTAGATACTACTCCATTCATATCTCCCATCAAGATCAGATTGTAATCCAAATAGTCCATTAAGGTCTCATGCAACTTTTTGAAGAATTCAGATTTCCCCTCATTCGGTGCATAAATTCCTACTATCAAAAATTTCTCTCCTTGAACTTGAATTTCAATTGCCACAAATCTTCCTTGATCATCTTTAAAAATGAATTTCGGTGATAGTCTCTCCTTTGCATAAATCACTACTCCTCTTTTTTAACTTTGTCAGATGAAATAAACTCCTGTCCCAATTTCTTGTTAATCAATACTTTCCTATGTAGCCTTATCACGTGTGTTTCCTGTAAGCAAATCAAGTCCAATTGTTCCTTTTTTAACAAATGAAAAACACTTTTCCTTTTCCGAGGAGAGTTGAGGCCATTACAATTCCAACTTAATAGTTGCAGAGCCATGATGTGATTACTTTACTTTACCTCCAACTGCGCCAAGTGCTTGTTCTTGTTCTGTCGGTGATGTCACTTTCTCTGAACCATGCAATCCAAAAGATAAATTTGCTATATCTAATATTCCTCTTTCCAGTGCTCTTGGCTCTTCTCCAGATTCCACTTCTTTCTGTAAGTCTTCTCCGTAGTCTTTCAAAAATCTATCCTTGTCATCGACTGATCTTATTTTTATCTTTCTTCCTTTATATTTAAAGGACAGGCCTTGGGAAATTCCCACCTAAAAATGATTCTGTTGCTTCTCAGCAGGGCGACCAAATCTCCGTAGTTAGATCTTAAATCCAAGAGATGTTTTGGAATGTCCTTAAATATCTCCACACTTGACTCATGTATTTCCAAAGTCTTTCGGAAGTGCAGATTCAAGATTTTGTCTCTCTCCTCTTTTGTTCGAAGGGTAATCAAACAGTCTCTCACCTTGTTCTTCCTTCCTCCTCTGCCAAGTCTAAATGCGCTCACTATCTTAAATTCTTCCTTCCCCAAATCCTGTTGCCAGAAGTCTGCAAACTCCTGCGTAAGAAAGTCAGTCAAGTTATCTTTCTCAAGTTCTGGTACAGCCCTGATTCTCAAATTCCTTTGTTTCTCCTTCAATTCAATCATAGACAATGTCAAACCGTGGTCCTCGAGTTGCCTACATATCGGTGGTATCTTCTCTTGAGTAGCAGTTGCTATGTCTTTTGCTTCTTCGGCTGTCTTTCAAGTCAAAGCAGATTCCTGTAACAATTTCTCAATAGTCTCTGTATTGGTGTTCAACTTCTGTCCCAAATTATTAATACTTGTAGTATTTTGGTCAATTTTAACTGATGCTTCAGCAACTTGTTTATTTGTTTAGTTTCAGCTACTTGTTTAGTTAAATTTTCCAAAGATTCATTAATTTTTCCTAGTGCCAGAGCCAAAACGTCTTCAGACGACATTACTTTTGGTTTAACTTCTGGGGGTGCAGCCCCTGATAATCCAGATGGTCCAGAAGGACCAGATGTTGAAGCTCTTCGCTGCGATGCAGTATCTGTCCGATAGGGTCTGCCAGACCTAGTAGTTTTTTCCTGAATCAACTCTAACTTTCCTCTTCCATCTGCCATAACACTCTCATAGAAATCCAAGGTCAATCCCATGGCTAGAATTTGTTTTGAAATGGAAAATTCCCCTAGCCCAGTTGTTATTGTAGCAATATCAAACCTCCGCGCGGGGACACAGTAACAGTCAAAGATTGCAACTTTAAAAAGAAGTAGTCCTTATAAATCCCCCAGTTCACAAAAAAAAAAAATACAGTTTCAATTGCACTTAATCAGTTACTTTAAAGCCAGGAGAAGTCCAGAAACACTGTATCTCTCTTGCAGAGTTAGCTGTCAAAAGTACTCTGTTTACCGATAGTGCTTTTCACAGAGCGGCATTCCTTGTCTCAGGGCAGTCCGTTCCCAGGTTCTAAGCGGTGGATTTTAGCTTCCTTTCCCTCTTTTTTTTTGCAGATAAATACAGTTCAAACCTTTCCCCCCTCCTCTCCTGCAATCTGGAGGGGAGATCGCTTTTCTGATGTTAGGATTTAAGTCTTTTTTCAAACGTCTTTCAAAGTTTCCACTTACAGGCTCTTTGCTTTGATCTGTTTACAAGAACGGAAGGCGGACTTCCTGTTTATGCTTTCCCACTTCGGTGCCGAATTAAGTTATTTTTCCCTTTAAATCCAATTTTATCCTACTCACGGGTAGTTACTTTCAAAGTCAAATTGTCCCAGGAAAATGTCAGCACTCTCCGATAACGGCTGTGTGGCTTCACTCCGCGGAAGAAGCAGTCGACTCTCAGCACCGCGCCGCTCACCCCGTCTCGCTCCGGAGCCCGTAAAAGGGTCCCTTCGCAGTTTGGGGGGGGCGCAAAAGGTGCCCGCCGAGTCCCCACGTTCACAGGCTTCACCCGCCTGTGATTTTTGAAGGGTCCCCACTTCGCCGTAGCGGTCAGACCCGATCCCGCGGAGCTGGTCCCTCAGAAACTCAGAGGGAATCCGCCATTACCGATGGCGCCAACCCGGAAGTCCCCAAACTGAAACTGTTCTTAACCTGAAGCACCACTTTAGCTAATGGGGCCTCCTGCTGCCACTGCGCCGCCAGAGCACGATTTCTGTTCTCATCCTGAAGCAAAGTTCTTAACCTGAAGCACTATTTCTGGGTTAGCAGAGTCTGTAACCTGAAGCATATGTAACCTGAGGTACCACTGTATTTCATTTTTTTTAACATAGTTTACAGGTGTATTTTCAAAAGAAATGAAACAAGGAACTTCCGGTGAGGAATCATGGCGGCTGCAATGGCAGAAAACAGTTCCTGAAGCCAGCCAGAGTAAACAGCTCTGTCTGGCTGACTCCCGGGCTGCCAGGACTGCTGCCGCCAGCACTGCCAGCGGAGAGGAATCGGGGGTGCCCGGTGCGTCTATCGGAGGAGCCAAAACACCCCCCTCCCATGACCTTGATTGAGCCAGGAAGGCACCCGGCCGGCCACCCACCCAACAGCCCAGAGGAGCTCCAGGACCAGGAGGACAGTGGAGCTAACACAAAGAGGGAGAAAGAAAGGGCGAAAGAGGAAGAAAAAGAAAGAAAGAAAAAGGAGCCCCAGCTTTACCGCTGCTGCCCCCATCGCTGCCGCTGACGGGAAAGAAGAGGGGAGGTAGGTGCGCACTGGGAGGGCAGGAGAGGCTCCAAAAGAACACGTGGCTGAGCCCGAACAGAGCCTACCCCTCCAGCAGCTAACGCTTGGAAACAGAGGAAGGCCGCATGACAAAGGAGATCGCAGAAAGGAAGAAACTACTTTTTTAAACCCCTTTTCTTTTTAACCCCTTCCTCCCCCTTTTATTAATTAAAGGGAAATTTAGGGGAAAGGTTTTTATTCCCCCATATACCTACTTTTATCGTTTTCTTTTTAAAAGGGGACGACTGCTGCTGCAGCCACCCTTTATTTGAATTTTTACTTTTATTTTTACCCTTTTTACACATTATTTAAAGACACACTTTTCCACCCCCCCAATTTATACCTTATTTTATTTTCACCTAAAACTCTCCTCTTAAGAATTAAAATGGCAGTACCCAGTCCAGTACCCATGGACTGCAAGAAGATCAAACGTATCCATTCTTAAGGAAATCAGCCCTGAGTGCTCACTGGAAGGACAGATCGTGAAGTTGAGGCTCCAATACTTTGGCCACCTCAGGAGAAGAGAAGACTCCCTGGAAAAGACCCTGATGTTGGGAAAGATGGAGGGCACAAGGAGAAGGGGACGACAGAGGACGAGATGGTTGGACAGTGTTCTCGAAGCTACAAACATGAGCCTGACCAAACTGCGGGAGGCAGTGGAAGACAGGAGTGCCTGGCGTGCTCTGGTCCATGGGGTCACGAAGAGTCGGACATGACTAAACGACTAAACAACAACAACAACCCAGAAAAGAGCCCTGAACCAACACAGGCCATTTCCTGGGACTGCCATTTCGCCCCAGACTTTCCACTCTCTTTTACCTATCCTTTTCGTACTTTATTCACTTTTAGAAATAAAATAACGCTGACACCAAATCCTACATATAGTAAGTGAAATAGAAACATCGCCACCCAACCCCTCTCTCACCCATCTCTCCCCCCCACCTCCTTCCCCCTTTTCTTCCTAATGTCTCAACAAATGAAAATGATTTGTAAAAATGTTACATGGGGGGAAAAACACGAGAGACACTGCACACTTTTGTAAATCAACAAAATCTTTAATAAAAAAAGAACAAGAAAGAAAGAAATGAAACAAACTGATCCAGCAGGATGAGAACCATGAGCACTAAGCAAGCAGAGACTTTGCAGTGAGCCCCATTTCTAATATGTGTGTTTGTACACACACACACACACACACAATGGGATATAATGTCTCATCAGTTATATGATCCAGGTATACTGGGCTCCATAGGAAAGAGCTGGCTAGTTCAGATATCATGTAATGCTGATAATGCCTCTTTGAGTCATATATTGTGGGCATGTCCTGGTTTGTTTGTTTTTTTCTGGCCAGAAACATTGTTCAAATTACCGTAATTTTGTTCTGGAATAATCCTTAATATGTGCAGATGTTCTATATTTCTGTGGAGTTGGGGCAGCAGAAGTGGATCCTGCATGTCCTTCAAGGCTGGGATGATAAACACCCACTTTATATGGCTCTGTGGTCTGACCAGGGCTATTTTTCTAGAAAAAGAGGTTCTGGAACTAACCATGATGAATTCTGCATATGTTAAATAAGCAGGGAGAGAATATACAGCCTTGTTGTATTCCTTTTCCAATTTTGAACCAATCAGTTGTTGCATATCCAGTTCTAACTGTAGCTTCTTGTCCCACATAGAGATTTCTCAGAAGACAGATGAGGTGATCAGGCACTCCCATTTCTTGAAGAACTTGCCGTAGTTTGCTGTGGTCGACACAGTCAAAGGCTTTTGCATAGTCAATGAAGCAGAAGTAGATGTCTTTCTGGAACTCTCTAGCTTTCTCCATAATCCAGCGCATGTTTGCAATTTGCCCATTTGACTTCACTCTCCAGGATGTCTGGCTCAAGGTCAGCAACCACACTACCTGGGGTGTACGAGACATACATATCTTTCTGGTATAATTCCTCTGTGTATTCTTGCCACCTCTTCTTGATGTCTTCTGCTTCTGTTAGGTCCTTACCACTTTTGTCCTTTATTATGGTAATCTTTGTATGAAATGTTCCTTTCATAGCTCCATAGCTATGTTTGCGCGAATCTGGGGCCATACTAGGTCACTGTCACCCACAGATGATCACTTCACATTGAGTCTGCAGAACTTTGTAACCTTGTTTTCTGAGGTTACTATCTGGGGCTAGATGTTAACACCCTTGGTTTCTGTCATCCCTTTCTACAATAAGCACATTAATTCTGCCTCAAATTACGTACAATTTGTGTTACTTCTAAAACAGAGAGAGAGCGAGAGCGCTAAAAATAAGCCAATCCTTGCTGACCTCCCAAGTAAAAATCCCATTCTCAATTAATAGTTAAAATCTGACTAAAAGCTATCATGGTACTCACAAACTGTCAGTCTGCTGTCTCTTTGTGAATGATGAGTGTCTTCAACTGAATGGACGAAAGTTGTGATCACACATGATGCTGAGGCACACAAGAAGGCAAGTTGAGAAGCAAGAGATTACCAGAGCATGTTCAATGAATTGTTGCAAATATATCTAAAGGCGCAGCTCATGCTCAATGTATTACTGGAAATAACTAAAGGCTTAAATCATGCTGAGGTTTTTGAATGGCACAGTAACATGATCCATGTTCCCTAAAGACATTTATTCTTAGATCACTCTCTTTTCTCCTTAGTTTTCCTCTAAATATCAATCTCTTTTTTTCCCTTTCTTTCCCTTCCAGCTGAACACATCAGTTTGTCATAAAAAATGGAATAGTTAATGAACACATTTTGCCTGTATACACATTACCCACTTAGAATGACCTAGCTGCATTTTTTTTCTCAATTTAGATCAAAGTTGGGGGGGGGGACGCATTAACCTAAGAAACTACAGGATAGATCCATGATCAATGTAGGTTGTGGCTAACACTGTGTATACACCACTTCCCAAAAGAGCTCTGGGAGTGCACTGGGGGCAGAGTAAATGTGAGCGTGTACACAGCCTTAAAATCAGAAAACCATTAACATTTAGTTTTCAGTGGTATAGTAAACCTGCCATAGAACTGTATCACTTCAGGTGGCAGGTGAGGACTCACATGACAAATAGAAACAGAAACAGAAATAGAAATTTATCAACCCAACTCTGTAAAGACTACATGCATTTAACTTTACACACAAAGCTCCAAGCACCTCCCTTCATCAGGAGTATGGGAATTCCCAAAATAGAACTATACTACATCGCCAACCATGTGTGCCACATAATCCCATATATCCCAGAAGACAAAATCACCCTTTATATTCATCTCAGCTAAAAGAAGCTCGAAACTTATCTATAGATGGTATCTAGCACCATGGAAGCTGGCGCTGATACACACAGGAACCTCACCAAAGTGCTGGAGAGGCAGCACCACCACAGGCACAAACTTCCACATGTGGTGGGAATGCCATAAAATTCAACACTTTTGCACATCAGTCCTACAAGAAATCCACAAAATAACAAAACAGGGATTAGAAGCAATTCCAGAACTGGCCCAGAACTTTTCCAAGACAACAATGCACACTCACACTACAAAGAATTCATAAGCCACCTACTAGAAGCCACATAACTAGACACTGGAGTCAACTTGTCAGGAGTCAACATGGACCACTGGTACCAAAGTGTATGGGAACCAGCCTTACTAGAAAAGCTAACCAACAAATTGAAGTTAGCATGAGGACAAACAAAAGAGGATGCCTTCACCCTGGTATGGCTTCCCCTTATTACATATACAGCCCAGCAACACAAAAACATAGACAACCTCCCCAACAGCATACCAATCAATATGTCTAATTTGACCCAAGAAACCCGTCCCCCTCACATACAACAAAATTCACTGCAACCAATCAAATGCAACCAACCATGCTCTGGGATCCCCAATCTCCCATACTACCAACAAAAACAAACAAATGAATAGATAATGAACCTATCCAGGCAATGCTGACACAAAACTCCACACGTACCCTATGCAAAAGAAGGAAAGAACACAACCCCCTTCTCTCCCTGCCTTTTTCTCCCCACCAAACTCACAATGCCTATGATATCAGGTGTGTCACACCAAATGCAACTGACCTGCAAAAACGACTCTCTGAACTGAAAACAGAGACACTATATGTAGAATTGTTATCCATGAAAATGTTTCAATAAAAGCATTTTTTAAAAAAATAAAAATAGAAATTTCTATTTGAAATAAGGCTTGACCTGTCTTCCTGATATTTAAGTTGCAATCCTATACCAACGAGGTCTACCTACTCAGGTAGGGATAGGGATACACAAATCATTACATCATCAATTGAATATTATTTCAGTTTGCCCCAAGTGCAAAAGTTAGATTTTGTTTTTCTTGTTTACTCCCCACACTATGAATTGCACAATTTTGATCATACTTCAATATCAGTATGTTATGAAATAAAGTTTCATAATGTGAAAGTGTAATGTGAAATACTACAAACATTTAGCAAGCCACTGTAGAGCCTGTATTTTATCTTTGGTTTCATGCTGCACATCAAGACCTTATATGTCTCATTCCCTTCTCTAATTGGCTGCTGGAGGGTATGTATTAGTCTCAGAGGTGCGCCATATTCTTCCCATGGATCCCACAGCCCTGAGCTGCAATCCAAATGTGACCAACTTAATGGGAATTAGTAAGAGGATATGTTGATTATATTTAATCCTCTACAGAACCCACATATGTAGGATAAGGAAAGGAAAAATGGCTGGTACCTGTTTTTCAAATTGCAGAGCTAGCACATAAAGAGCCCCAGTAAAGGTGAAGAGGAAGAAGAGTTTGGATTTGATATCCCGCTTTATCACTACCCAAAGGAGTCTCAAAGCGGCTAATATACTCCTTTCCCTTCCTCCCCCACAACAAACACTCTGTGAGGTGAGTGGGGCTGAGAAACTTCAAAGAAGTGTGACTGGCCCAAGGTCACCCAGCAGCTGCAGATGGAGGAGTGGAGACGCGAACCCGGTTCCCCAGATTACGAGTCTATCACTCTTAACCACTACACCACACTGGCTCCCTGACCGTTAGGTCCAGTCGCAGACGACTCTGGGGTTGCGGCGCTCATCTCGCCGAGGGAGCCGGCATACAGCTTCCGGGTCATGTGGCCAGCATGACTAAGCCGCTTCTGGCGAACCAGAGCAGCACACGGAAACGCCGTTTACCTTCCTGCCGGAGCGGTACCTATTTATCTACTTGCACTTTGATGTGCTTTCAAACTGCTAGGTTGGCAGGAGCAGGGACCGAGCAACTGGAGCTCACCCCGTTGCGGGATTCGAACCACAGACCTTCTGATCGGCAAGTCCTAGGCTTGCCAATCGCGCCACCCGCGTCCCAAGGAGCCCCAGTAGCAGAATTTAAATCTCATTGTTAGGCAGATTAATGAAACCTAGTAATGGGTTTCAAAACTTCTTTTATCCCATTCCATCTGCTTGATGCAGCTGTCCCTCTCCCATCCTGCAGTGAAACAGACAACATTCTGAAGTAAGTTTAATTTACTTACTTAATAGGGGTCAGAGTCATGCATTGTACTTCATGCAACAGCAATAAGATAATGCAGGTAATCAATGTACTGTACTTGAAATTCAGCAAAAGCAGCCTCAGACACGCATCTGACACTGGGAGCTAGGTTGAGGCATGCCTTCCCCCTTGCTTGCAGTGTGGAGAGGAGGAAGGGAGGGAGAGAATGAACAGAAAGAAGCTTAGCTTCCTTCCTCTCAGGAGAAGAGGGTATGTGATATCACTGTACTTACTCTAGAAATTTGGAACTCTATGGTTCTTAACCCCTTCATATACTAACTAGCATTGTTATGTTTGACTGCAAATCTCTCACACAATTTACATAACTAACAGCACCCCTGAGAACCTAACCCTCAAGTACATTGCAATCACCCTGCTGTTTGTGCTTTCCTCCCCTCTGGTCTATGGTGCAGAGTAGGAGAGGGGGTGGGAACATGCCAAAATGCAGTCAGCCCAAAATTTCTACTCGGCTCCAAAGCAACTACAGGGTTTACATTCCTGGGGGGTTTTGCAGGAAATCAGAACCACCCAAGATCTTGCAAGATCTCATATGGTGCCACAAGACCTCAGAGAGGCTCACACCCCAGAGCTCTGTGAGCAAGACAGAGGGCTTACAAAGCTCTTCTGCAAAGGGAAAACCTTGTGAGAGCCTTCAGAGCCTGGTAAGCGAGGTCTCCAACCCTGAATGATTGATTGGCAATTCGTGTAAAGCTGCGGTCATGCAAAGTAAAATCAGTGTAAGTTGCAATCGACCTGTAGTTTGGATCTGCACTATACTAGAGGAGAGATGGGTGCCATAAATGGAAAAAAGGCCAAAGAGGGGCAGCTATGGGTTTAACCTTGTGGTCACAATCCTCTGTAGGGATGACCACCATGCCAACCCTGCCCCTCCCCTCCCTCTCCACAAAATCTGCTGCAGGTAGAAGCCATGATCCAGGCTTTGAGGCAGCATTCTTTTCTGTTACACCCAGGGGGAAAGACTATACATGATGTGAGCGAGTTTCCACAATGTAGATACTACTGCTGCTGCTGCTATTTTTTTAAAAAAATAATCTCTTCTTAATGCACCCTAAAGTTCTAGCTAAGGGTAGCTTTAAAGAGAAGTAATTATATTTTACTTATTCTTATCTACACAGCAGTTTGATTGCTAACTGGCTGTGTAGTCAACAGCAAGGTAGATAGTTATCTCATTTGTGGAAATGCTAGTTCGGGATAACTTGAATGGTTGCAAACGTAACAAAGAACATGTAGGGTTGTAGCATAATTAAGCAAAATTAATTTGGCTAGCAAATGCACACAGTTCTTCTCTCAGACTATTTACCAATTGATTTTAACTAGATTTTTTTCAGAAGGAATATGTGAACAACTGCTCTGCTATTAATACATTCTTCTCAACACTGAATAATAGTATTTTAGGCTTAACCCCCCCCCCCGATGATCATGAACTATGTATGGGATAACAAAAAATATCTGATATTAAATTAAAAGAATGCCTTTTCAGATAGATACAATTTGGAACCTTGGAACTGAGATTACTTTAGAAACACTTTGAAAAGTTTGATTGACGATATTAAGAGTATTAAGAGCACACAGCTAAAATCACTTGAAAGGTCTACCAAGAAATGCTCTTGCATATCTACCTTTCAATTCAATGGGAGCATTTCCTGGTAGATTGTCCACAGAGTCTTTCAAGGGAGAACTGTAGCATTGTAAGGGAACCCAAGAGGCATGTAGTCCAACCCCCTGCAATGCAGGAATCCATACTAGATCATCCATGACAGATGGTCACCCATCCTCTGCTTTAAAACCTCCAAGGAAGGAGAGTCCACCATCTTCCAAGGAGACAGATTCACTGTCAAACAGTTCACATCTTCACAAAGTTCTTCCTGATGTTTAGTCAGAATCTCCTTTCTTGTAACTTGAAGCCATTGATTCAGGCCCTACCCTCTGGAGCAGGAGAAAACAAGCTTGCTCCCTCTTCCACGTGACAGCCCATCAGATATTTGAAGATGGTTCTTTTGTCTCCTCCCAGTCTCCTCTTTTCCAGGCTAAACATACCCAACTCCTTCAACCATTCCTCATGAGGTTTGTTTTCCAGACCCTTGATCATCTTGGTCGCCCTCCTCTGAACATGTTCCAACTTTTGCCATAACTTTTAAGATACCACAGGAAACATTAATAGTTTTGCCATGGGCACCTGTCAGAGCCACATTAACTGATGGAAGACCTATAACATTACATTCTGGTTTCCTTCTTGAAAGCCAGTGCTGAGAATAAAGGTAAAGGGACTCCTGACCATTAGGTCCAGTCACGGACGATTCTGGGGTTGCATGCTCATCTCGCTCTATAGACCAAGACAGCTTCCAGGTCATGTGGCCAGCATGACTAAGCCGCTTCTGGCAAACCAGAGCAGTGCACAGAAACGCTGTTTACCTTCCCACCGGAGCGGTGCTGAGAATAGCTGAGGGTTTAATATATAAAATTTAGATTCTATAAATTTTAATACAAATATGTCAATTAATAAAGGTTGCTTGAAATCATTACATATGCATATTGTTCATCTCCCAATCTCCCATTCCTCTTCATCAATGGCCTTTTGAAGTTTGTTAGATAATACTTTTTTTTCATTTTGGTAAACAAACATGATTTTAAAGTATTGCTAAATTTTATTTTTTTTATTTTACAATGTTTCTATACTGCTTGATTGTAAGAAAACCTCTAAGTGGTGTTTAAAATAATACTAATACTAATGCTGGTTCATTTTGTTTAACATGTTTAATGAGGATAACATTTGGTTAATGTGTGAACCAGTAGATGCCTTGGCAGTCTGTGGCATATTAGAGATACCTAACATCTACTGACCTTGGTAAAGAAATTCTTAATTTCATTGAATTAGTTTTATTTTGATAATTTATGATTCATGTCTTTCAAAATGCTTGGAGCTATGTGCAAGGGTAATCAAAATAGAAATGAAAACCAATAACTGTAAAACCAGTCAACACTAAAATCAATTATATCAAAACAAGTTATAGCAACACGTCAGCACAAAATTCAATAGCAGGAGCATTTGCATTTTGTATCTTTGTTAATCCCAAGGCCCAGTAATAATCATTTCAGGGTTAAAGGTTGGGAGGGATAGATGCTTTAACTATCCTCCTCAAAGGTAGTGCCGTTTGCAGGCGAGGAAGAGGGTCTAGAAGCTCTCCTCTTCCCTTGGATGACAGTACCCTTTGTTATGCCTGAGGTCTAGATTAACTTCCACCCAGAAGACCTTCATCATGCCAGCTGGCTTCCTTTGAAATGCCCTGAAGCATTTCAACCCCATCACTAGCAGTCTGCATCTTTGGCATTGGAGCCAGTGTGGTGTAGTGGTTAAGAGCGGTAGTCTCGTAATCTGGGGAACCGGGTTCGCGCCTCCGCTCCTCCACATGCAGCTGCTGGGTGACCTTGGGCCAGTCACACTTCTCTGAAGTCTCTCAGCCCCACTCACCTCACAGAGTGTTTGTTGTGGGGAGGAAGGAAAGGAGATTGCTAGCCGCTTTGAGACTCCTGAAGGGGACTGAAAGGTGGGATATCAAATCCAAACTCTTCTTCTTCTTCTTCTTCCCTGAAAAGCAGCAACATACCTGAAAGGAGAACATTCCCCTATTTACTCTCTGCCCTGGTTTTCTTCCCTTATGTCAAATTTCATAGAATCATAGAATCATAGAGTTGGAAGAGACCACAAGGGCCATTGAGTCCAACCCCCTGCCAAGCAGGAAACACCATCAGAACACTCCTGACATATGGTTGTCAAGCCTCTGCTTAAAGACCTCCAAAGGAGGAGACTCCACCACACTCCTTGGCAGCAAATTCCACTGTCGAACAGCTCTTACTGTCAGGAAGTTCTTCCTAATGTTTAGGTGGAATCTTCTTTCTTGTAGTTTGGATCCATTGCTCCGTGTCCGCTTCTCTGGAGCAGCAGAAAACAACCTTTCTCCCTCCTCTATGTGACATCCTTTTATATATTGCAACATGGCTATCCTATCACCCCTTAACCTCCTCTTCTCCAGGCTAAACATGCCCAGCTCCCTTAGCCGTTCCTCATAAGGCATCATTTCCAGGCCTTTGACCATTTTGCTTGCCCTCCTCTGGACACGTTCCAGTTTGTCAGTGTCCTTCTTGAACTGTGGTGCCCAGAACTGGACACAGTACTCCAGGTGAGGTCTGACCAGAGCAGAATACAGTGGCACTATTACTTCCCTTGATCTAGATGCTATACTCCTATTGATGCAGCCCAGAATTGCATTGGCTTTTTAGCTGCCGCGTCACACTGTTGGCTCATGTCAAGTTTGTGGTCAACCAAGACTCCTAGATCCTTTTCATATGTACTGCTCTCAAGCCAGGTGTCACCCATCTTGTATTTGTGCCTCTCATTTTTTGCCCAAGTGCAATACTTTACATTTCTCCCTGTTCAAATTCATCTTGTTTGTTTTGGCCCAGTTCTCTAATCTGTCAAGGTCGTTTTGAAGTGTGATCCTGTCCTCTGGGGTGTTAGCCACCACTCCCAGTTTGGTGTCATCTGCAAATTTGATCAGGATGCCCTTGAGTCCATCATCCAAGTCGTTGATAAAGATGTTGATTAAGACCGGGCCCAAGACAGAACCCTGTGGCACCCCACTAGTCACTCTTCTCCAGGATGAAGAGGAACCATTGATGAGCACCCTTTGGGTTCGGTCAGTCAGCCAGTTACAAATCCACTGAGTGGTAGCATAGTCAAGACCGCATTTTACCAGCTTCTTTACAAGAATATCATGGGGCACCTTGTCAAATGCCTTGCTGAAATCAAGGTAGGCTACAGCCACTGCATTCCCTTCATCTACCAGGCTTGTAATTCTGTCAAAAAACGAGATCAGGTTAGTCTGACATGACTTATTTTTCAGAAATCCATGCTGACTATTGGTGATCACAGCATTCCTTTCTAGGTGCTCACAGACTGTTTGCTTAATGATCTGCTCCAGAATCTTCCCTGGTATTGATGTCAGACTGACTGGACGGTAATTATTTGGGTCCTCTCTTTTCCCAATTTTGAAAATAGGGACAACATTTGCCCTCCTCCAGTCTGACGGGACTTCGCCTGTTCTCCAGGAATTTTCAAAGATGACTGCCAGTGGTTCTGAGATCACATCTGCCAGTTCTTTTAATACTCTTGGATGCAGTTCATCTGGCCCTGGAGACTTGAATACATCTAAACTAGCCAAGTATTCTTGTACTATCTCCTTAGTTATTCTAGGCTGTGTTTCCTCTGCTGAATCATTTGCTCCAAATTCTTCAGGTCGGGCATTGTTTTCTTTATCGGAGAAGACTGAGGCAAAGAAGGCATTGAGGAGTTCAGCCCTTTCTGTGTCCCCTGTTTGCATTTCACCATCTTCTCCTCTGAGTGATCCCACTGTTTCTTTGTTCTTCCTTTTGCTACGAACATACCCATAAAAGCCTTTTTGTTGCTTTTAACCTCTCTAGCAAGCCTGACTTCATTCTGTGCTTTAGCTTTTCTGACTTTGTGTCTACACGTGCTGGCTATTTGTTTGAATTCCTCTTTGGTGGTTTCCCCCTTTTCCATTTTTGTACACATCCTTTTTAATCTTAACTCAGTTAAAAGTTCTTTAGATAGCCACCCTGGCTTCTTTAGGCACCTTCCATGTTTCTGTCTCATTGGTATTGCCTGACGTTGTGCTTTTAGTATCTCCCTCTTAACAAACTCCCAGCCATCATGAACACCCTTTCCTTTTAGTATTACTGTCCATGGGATCTCACCCAGCGCTTCCCTAAGTTTTATGAAGTCGGCTTTCTTAAAGTCAAGAAATTGAGTCCTAGTATGCTTGGCTGCTCCTTTCCGCTGTATAGTAAACTTCAGAAGAGCATGATCACTCGCGCCTAATGATCCTTCCACTTCTACCCCACCAACCAGCTCATCAACATTGGTTAGGACCAGATCTAAAATGGCTGTTCCTCTTGTTGCTTCTCCCACTTTCTGGACAATGAAGTTGTCTGCAAGGCCAGTGAGGAATCTGTTTGACCTTATGCTCTTGGCTGAGTTTGACATCCAACAAATATCCGGGTAATTGAAGTCCCCATTACTACTATCTCCCTTCCTTTTGCATGCTTGGCCATCTGTTCCAGGAAGGCATCATCTATGTCCTCCGTTTGGCTTGGGGATCTATAGTAAACTCCCACAATGAGGTCACTGTTATTCTTCTCTCCCTTAATTTTGACCCAAATGCTCTCACTTTGGCTTTGAGGTTCTAAATCTTGGATCTCTTCACAGGTATACACATCCCTGACATATAACGCCACTCCTCCTCCTTTCTTGTCTGGTCTGTTTCTCTGAAATAGATTGTATCCCTCCATTATTACATTCCAATCGTGGGACTTATCCCACCAGGTTTCAGTGATGCCTATTATGTCATATTTAGTTTGCTGTACCAAGAGCTCAAGCTCATCTTGTTTATTTCCCATGCTTTGCGCATTAGTGTACAGACATTGAAGTCCATTAATCATTCCCCCCGTGTCTCTTATTAAGGATTTTTCCTCCCACCACTAGGTCTGTGTGCTGTTTGCTCCATTTGGTCTATGACATTTGGATGATCATCTTCATCAATTGATAGACTGCTACCTTCAGGAGCACTGTCTCCCTCCCCACATTAGTCAGTTTAAAGCCCTCCTGATGAGGTTTCTGAGATTTTTGGCAAAAACATTCCTCCCAACCGTTGTAAGGTGCAGCCCATCACTTGCCAGAAGTCCATCTTCAAGAAACTGCAGTCCGTGATCTAAGAATCCAAACCGTTCCTGTTTACACCATTTGCGAAGCCAGCTGTTCATTTGCACTATTTTTCCCTCTCCCCCTGGGCCACGTCGTTCAACTGGGAGGACAGATGAGATGACAATTTGTGCATTTAATTGCTTCAATTTCCTGCCCAGAGCCTCGTAGTCTCTTCTGATCTTCTGGAGGCTATTGCTTGCAGGGTCATTAGTTCCCACATGAACCAAGAGGAAGGGGTATTTGTCAGTGGGTTTTATGATTCCTTGCAGTCGTTCAGTTACATCTTGGATCTTAGCCCCGGGGAGACAGCACACTTCCCGAGACATCTTGTCAGGCCAACAGATCACTGCTTCTGTTCCCCTCAGTAGGGAATCCCCTATCACCACTACACGCCTCCTCTTAGGTCTGGTCGGGGTTCTTCCGTGAGCTGTCCGTTCCAAGGTCGCCTGCACATTCCCTGAGGACTGACTTTGCTGCTTGTCTTCATATACCTGATCGACTGTAATGAGGGAGAGATCCTCAAATGGAGTCTGCTCGTCATCTTCCATGCTAGGGGAGAGGACCTCAAAGTGATTGTGTATTTCTAAACAATCAGAGCGAACCCTGGGCCTCCTACTTCTTTGAATCACGTTTCTCCTGTGTTGGTGAACTAGCCTCCTTCTCAGGGGAGTCCCCTGTCTCCTCCTTGGTGGAGACGGTGTGCTCTGTTGCTTCCAAGAAGAGCTCCAGCTCTCTAATTCTTTGGAGCGTAGCTACACGTTCCAATTTAAGCAGCAGCGGCTCTTGCATGACGGTGGGAGTGATGTATCATGCATGGTGGGTTGATGGGTCACAAGTTGTGCAGATCAGTACTAGGATACATGTGCTATTTGTAGGAAGGCTGGCGAGGGAACCGTTGTAGGATTTTGTAGGAGGCTGAAGAGACTTGGAATCAAATAAGTAGGAGCAGAAGGAGAAAATGTATTAATTACATATTGTATTCATTTGTAACAGATACAGTTCTGTATTGTGCCTAAGGCAATGAACAGCAATACAGATTCACAACAACAACACAATAGAAATGATTAAAAACCAGCAAATTAGTTCAGAAAGAAATCCAGTAACAAGTGGGCTCAAAACATGACAAATGGACTGATAAAATATTTAACTATAGAGAGAGAACTGAAAACATCAAGCTAACACAAATTCCAGTCCATGTGGGCTCGACATCTGAGGGACCCAAAGAAAAGTGTCCTCTGAAGGTCCTGCCCCCATGCCACCCTGATGCCTCCCGGCTCACCAGGTGGGGGGGGCACCCTTCGAGGGGGAGGCTGCTGCTGCTACCGCCCCCTTAATGGCCCCCCATGTCTCTGGAGGCTTGGGGACAGACAGCGGCATTAGAGGTCAGTGATGTTGTGTTTGCTGCTGACAGGCGGATTCAATTTTCTTTGAAATGACATGGTTTTGGATTTTTAATGTTTATTACATTTTTATGGTTTTAACCCCCGGGACCTTATAAAGAAAGCAGTGTTTTTTTCATAATGACCAAATATAAATAAATAGATACAGCCCTGGAAAAAAGGGGGCATCCTGTTTTTTCTTGAGAGAAGGCAGTGGCCAAAGTGGCTGCCGCGATCATGCATGATTTTGGGCTGGACTTTTTTCAGGCACAGTGCCCAAACCACACGTTTTAGGGCACTGTGCAAGAGTGCTGCCCTGAAAAAGCACTTTTTGGGGGAGTAGAGATCTTGCATGGCACCCCAAAACACACATTTGGGAGGCCCATGATCTTGTGCGGGTCATGTGACTCATTGCAGCTCCCTTTTATTTTGAATGAAGGATAATTATTATCCAAGGCTTCTTTAAAGATGACTAAAATGTAGATTCAAAACCCAGGCATTTTATTTTCAGTGTTAAAAAACCCATTTGTGTTGCAAAATATGATATGATGAGGGAACAATGATTAGTCTTATTAGTTCAAAATGTGCTATATATTAAATTAAAGAGCTTGATAAGCCATGTTTTCTGTATGTTCACAGAAGCTATCTAGACAACTGCACACATCAAGTTATTTTTTAAAACCACATTAATATCAATAACCATTTATTTTGTTCAGTGCTAGCCTTCTCATATACTGTGTACAAAACTCATTAAGATTTATGTATTGTAGAAGATGCCTACTGTTCTATTTGTGTCCCTTCCTGGCAAGGATTGAAACCTTTTAGCTTGCAAGCCACACAGAACACAGCAGGACTTACTCCTGAATAAATGTGCAAAGGATTGTGCTGTTCAGACTCATTGCAACTTTTCTTTTATTTTGAATGAAGGATAATTAATATCCAAGGCTTCTTTAAAGATGGCTAAAGTTTCTGACCACTGTGTTATCAGTGAACAGAACATGCTTAGCTATCAGGGAATGCTAGAAATAATTATTGCAGCCATTGTTCATGTCATATAGCTGGTGGAGTTAGAAGAACTTTGAAATAGTCAGTCTCTTTAAATACTTTTATAGGAAGTTTGGAAGGAAAGCCTTGTTGGTCTGTGGCAGCAAAAGCAACAAAGAATCCTATATTATAATTTTATAATAAATAAGATTTATTAATAAAACTGTTAATTAATAAAACTATTTTATAATAAATAAGATTTATTAATAAAACTGTTAAATATGGGAGGCTGCAATATTATATTTGCTTCCTTGGGAGTAAGCCCACGGAATTCAATGGCACTACTGAGTTTAAGGGACGCGGGTGGCACTGTGGGTTAAACCACAGAGCCTAGGACTTGCCGATCAGAAGGTCAGCGGTTCGAATCCCCATGATGGGGTGAGCTCCCATTGCTCAGTCCTTGCTCCTGCCAACCTAGCAGTTCAAAAGCACGTCAAAGTGCAAGTAGATCAATAGGTACTGCTCCGGCGGGAAGGTAAACGGCATTTCCGTGCGCTGCTCTGGTTCACCAGAAGCGGCTTAGTCATGCTGGCCACATGACCTGGAAGCTGTACGCTGGCTCCTTCGGACAATAAAGTGAGATGAGCGCTGCAACCCCAGAGTCGGCCATGACTGGACCTAATGGTCAGGGGTCCCTTTACCTTTTTTACTGAGTTTATATTAATGGGCCTGCACTGTAAATATTAATTATTATTAATTATTATACCTGCCTTCTTGTAGCAGTTTAAGTCCCACTTGACAGACCTTATATACATCGGGTGGAATACGACATAGAGCTATTACGAATATTCAGTCAGCTTGCCAGAGGGAACAATGCCCTTTCTCCTCTCCTGACAAGGCTCTGCTGGAGGTTCTTCTGAAGGGAGAAGAGGGGAAAGTCCTGTTGCACAAGGGGATGGCTTTGTGCAGGGCTTCCACTGACGAGGCACAGGACGCGAATCCCAGAATTTAGTATTATTATTGATAATTTACCTGTGCTTCACCCTAAGGTTCTAGAGCTGGTTACAACATTAAAAATGTGCCATTACGAATATATACATGCATACCAAAATAAAGTATATAACGATCAGCAGTTATATCATTGCAATAAAATTTTGCCTCCTAAAAAATAGGGTTGCTCCATATAGTCCCTTGATACATTGGGCTGCTCAGCTGCTCAGAGATTATCAGTGCTAGTGAGGAATGATGGTGCATACTCTGAACTCTGGTGGGCAGCTGCCTTTCTGGTCCCCTTAAATGATACCCCTACGTCCCAACAGATTAGTGAGCCGAATAAGCATTGTGTTGTGTGGATAAAGATATCTGCTTTTAAGAATGTATGCAACTCAAATAATTCACCAACAACAAATCTGCATTCTGGCACAAATATTTTTTTAAAAGAGTTACTATAATACTATTGGGACTTACTGGAAAAGAGCCCAAATGAATAATCATTTATAACTTGCAAAGATTGTCCTTAATTTATTCTATGCAAGTATCACTTTATAAATACAAAGGCATAAAAGGGAAAAGCCCTGAAGGTTAAAATCACTGCACATCCTGGCAGTGAGAGACCCTGAATTTAGATAGACTGTCATTATGACAATTCATATTTTCATTCAACCTTCTTCTACAAAAGTAGAACAGTTAGGAAATGGATATTACCATAAAACATGGATGGAATAACTCCATGAAAAATGATCCCCACCCACAGATCCATATTCCCCTCCCTCCCAATTTTACTTGCTGAACGTCTGTAGGGCCAAGAGGCAGGCACTTATTAGCCATCTGTTTCAACTTGGGTGATGTTGCATGACGAGGTCCCCAAGCCACCCCCCAAATAACTCACAACGCACACTTAATTTTTGTTTAAGGTTTTTGGCATAATTTTGGCCACAACTTTATTTAAATACAAAACCGTGAGTGGTTGTTTAGGCATTGGTTAAGACTATCTGTCCCCCCGCCTGGGGACAGAACTGACTTCCGGGCACCACCGAAAGACAGTGCGGGGGAAAGCAAGTCGGAGAGAAATGGAGCTGAGTCACAGACCCTCAATTCTCACCCGCATGCTCCCCGAAGGCTTGCCGGCCCTAGTCCCATTCCAGGGATTGGACGAAAAGATGGCAAGCCCCAGGATTCCTTTAACGGAATTCCCTTTCCGCAGCAACCATGGAGGGGCAGGCCCAGCCTATCCTAACCCCTCCTCCACCAATTTATAACCAATGCCTAACCGCCAATCGAGCCCTTTACACTCGCCCCCAACCACTCACAATCCCAACTCAACCTTCAACCTTGCAGTTACCGCATCCAACCAAACATCATTCCCCAGTACGGAGAGATGTACTCCATCATTGCAGTAAAGGGCCAGATCCTTGAAGGTAATATCCGGATGGGAAATAACCAACCCACCCAATTCTGCCACCTTCTTACACACTGCAGAATTAATGCGCTTCCTGGCCCTTTCAGCAGCCTCAGGTTGAGAAATGCCATGCCAATTGCGCCTTTGCAGCAATTGTGACCAAAATATTTTAACTGTGGGTATTAAGGTCACCAATTCCCCCAAGTCTCTCTGCGCAAAGTAAAGCAATCATAAGTTGCCACATTGTTCTCCCCCAGCTGCACCACAATTGCCATGGGGGCGCCATCCGAAAACACCCTCTGCTTAATTAGCGGGATGAATTCGCTCCACCGCATTCTGCGCCTGGATATCCATGACACCTGCACATGTTGCGGGAGGCCAAGACCCAGTCCCCTTCCAGACTGCCTAGCTCTGATGCCAGCCCAGTAAATGATGCTGTGCCCCACAATCCAGATGCGGACTAGAGCTAGAAACATGGGCAGGAAGGCTGAGATGGCGCCCCCAATCCAGACTCATCAGGGTGCTTGCCAGCTCAGTGCATGATGCTGTGGCCGACAATCGAAATGCGCACAGCTGCTCCTATGAAAAAAGGAACAACAGACAGGCATCAGCACAGGCATCATTGGCGATGCTTCTGAACTGCATCCAAGAGTATTAAAAGAACTGGCAGATGTGATCTCAGAACCACTGGCAGTCATCTTTGAGAATTCCTGGAGAACAGGCGAAGTCCCGGCAGACTGGAGGAGGGCAAATGTTGTCCCTATTTTCAAAAAGGGGAAAAGAGAGGACCCAAATAATTACCGCCCAGTCAGTCTGACATCAATACCAGGGAAGATTCTGGAGCAGATCATTAAGCAAACAGTCTGTGAGCACCTAGAAAGAATGCTGTGATCACCAATAGTCAGCATGGATTTCTGAAAAATAAGTCATGTCAGACTAACCTGATCTCGTTTTTTGACAGAATTACAAGACTGGTAGATGAAGGGAACGCAGTGGATGTAGCCTACCTTGATTTCAGCAAGGCATTTGACAAGGTGCCCCATGATATTCTTGTAAAGAAGCTGGTAAAATGTGGTCTTGACTATGCTACCACTCAGTGGATTTGTAACTGGCTGACTGACCGAACCCAAAGGGTGCTCATCAATGGTTCCTCTTCATCCTGGAGAAGAGTGACTAGTGAGGTGCCACAGGGTTCTGTCTTGGGCCCGGTCTTATTCAACATCTTTATCAACGACTTGGATGATGGACTCAAGGGCATCCTGATCAAATTTGCAGATGACACCAAACTGGGAGGGTGGCTAACACCCCAGAGGACAGGATCCCACTTCAAAATGACCTTGACAGATTCGAGACCGGGGCCAAAACAAACAAGATGAATTTGAACAGGGAGAAATGTAAAGTATTGCACTTGGGCAAAAAAATGAGAGGCACAAATACAAGATGGGTGACACCTGGCTTGAGAGCAGTACATATGAAAAGGATCTAGGAGTCTTGGTTGACCACAAACTTGACATGAGCCAACAGTGTGACGCGGCAGCTAAAAAGCCAATGCAATTCTGGGCTGCATCAATAGGAGTATAGCATCTAGATCAAGGGAAGTAATAGTGCCACTGTATTCTGCTCTGGTCAGACCTCACCTGGAGTACTGTGTCCAGTTCTGGGCACCACAGTTCAAGAAGGACACTGACAAACTGGAACGTGTCCAGAGGAGGGCAACCAAAATGGTCAAAGGCCTGGAAATGATGCCTTATGAGGAACGACTAAGGGAGCTGGGCATGTTTAGCCTGGAGAAGAGGAGGTTAAGGGGTGATAGGATAGCCATGTTCAAATATATAAAAGGATGTCACATAGAGGAGGGAGAAAGGTTGTTTTCTGCTGCTCCAGAGAAGCGGACACGGAGCAATGGATCCAAACTACAAGAAAGAAGATTCCACCTAAACATTAGGAAGAATTTCCTGACAGTAAGAGCTGTTCGACAGTGGAATTTGCTGCCAAGGAGTGTGGTGGAGTCTCCTTCTTTGGAGGTCTTTAAGCAGAGGCTTGACAACCATATGTCAGGAGTGCTCTGATGGTGTTTCCTGCTTGGCAGGGTGTTGGACTCGATGGCCCTTGTGGTCTATTCCAACTCTATTATTCTATGATTCTATGATTCAATAAAATAAATCAAACAATTTCATTATCCCATCTTTCATTCACTTATTTCCACGACCTCCTCACACCTCCCTTTTTGTATTCCACTTCTGTTAATTATTTCAGCAATTTCTTTCCATCTTCCTGTTTTCTATCCTATAATTATCTTAACTCATTCTAACCTTATTTTTTTCCTTTAATACTCTATTAACCTATCTGTACTTAATTCCTTATAATATTTCTACTAAAGCCATATACCAGCTTCAGGTTCTATTGCTCAGGGAATTTCCATTTGAAATGTGGAGCTGCGCAAGTGGTCCACATGTCCCTGTCCCTGCGATCCTAGCGAGCTGAGGGGATGATGGCAGCCCTGCGTCTAACATTCCCATCATAGTGAATTGCCACTTATAGAATAGTGGGGTTGGAAGGGACTCCGAGGATCATCTAGTCCACTCTCCCACAATATAATAATAATAATAACAACAAGAACAACAGTAATAATAATAATCATCTCTTTGTACCCCGCCCATCTGGCTGGGCTTCCTCAGCAACTCTGGGCAGCTTCAACAAAATATTAAAATACAGTAATGCATCAAACATTAAAAGCTTCCCTAAACAGGGCTGCCTTAGATGTCTTCTAAAAGTCTGGTAGTAGATATCTGGTGGGATATCTGGTACTGGTGGGATATCTCGTACCACAGGGCGGGTGCCACTACCGAGAAGGCCCTCCACCTGGTTCCCTGTAACTTGGCTTCTCACAGTGAGGAAACCACCAGAAGGCCCTCGGCGCTGGACCTCAGTGTCCGGATAGAGGGATGGGGGAGCATGCAGCTGTCCCATACAGGGACCAATCCTGCAACCTCGGCATTACCGGCACCATACGCTGACCAGCTGAGCTATCCAGGATGATCCCTAAAAACCTGGAACAGCCTCACCCTGACCCCTGGAGAGGTCCAAGGTGATGTCTGAATCATCATCAGAGCCTAGGGATGATGTACCTGCAAGGAGGTGTAAGCATAATCCCTGCTCCGCTTTTCCTGCTCCTGGATCGCTGCTTCTGAAGACGCTTCCTTCTGGAAGAAGGCACCTGGGGCATCAGCAAGTCATCCTCTGCAGGAGAGGCAAGCTCTGGAGGCATCTGCAAAGGCCTTGTCATAGTCTTCAAAAAACTAAACAATGTGAGGAACAGGTGAAACCAATGCTTTGTGCACCACATGGGGACGCTATTCAGGCCAGAAATGCTGCCAGAGGCCATCAAATTCTAGGGCAAAGTGGGCCAAGCCCTAGGATCACCTGCTAGGCCAGACATAAATGTTTCCAATGAGATAACAAACTCGAGGCAGCCCCCCTTCCTGTCCAGGTACCCCTGCTTGCCCTTTAGAGGGAAGCACCTCCTCAAGAAACCCAAAGTTCTTTTTGGGAGCAATATCACAAACGGGCCAAACTACCCAGCAACAAAATAGTCCAAAAGGAGCAGCTTGTTTTGCCTTGTTATAACAATGGCTAAGTGAGGGATATGAACCCTGTCTCCCAGGTCCTAGTACTGCGCTCTAGCCACTAAGCCACAATGGCTCGTCTCTAAAACGGCAGTTGCCACTATCAGGGCAAAACAAACTTGAAGAAAATAAACTTGTTCAGAAACAGCATAGTTAAAGAGCACACACAGAGTGCTCATTGGAGGCACAGAGAGCCTCTGGCTCCACTCTGTCTGCCTCAGATATACATTAGCATTGAGCCTGCAAACAACAGATACATTCTTAGAGAGAGAATGAGTCACATGTCACAGAGACTTCACAATTTACTGTACTGCTAACTGTAGCAGGCTTAGGCTTGAATGATCTGTGCGGGCTGTGCAGGCCTCCCTGCTTCTGCGCGCTGCCTTTTTGTCTCATTGCAATATTAAAGGAACTCAAAATAGTGCTTCCGCCCAAGGCTAGATTAAAATTCAGCCAACAGAACTGCAATCACCCAAAATAAAGCCAACCTATGAGGATACTATAAACGAAAGTGATTCCAAGTAAGCTGGGAACAGCCCTGACTAGCCCCACAATTAACAAACAGACGAAATGGGGAAAATCATTTTGCTAAATAAAGCCCCTAATGGGGGCTCTCTCCCTACTGGGAAAGACAAGCCCAGGAGGATGATGCACAGGCAGCGCTCACAGGTACAGGGAGAATCTTCCCACAGGGCAGGGTAAGGGGTGGGGTGGGAAACCAAACAGGGGGAAAAAGGGGAATTAAATTAATTAAGGGACTAGAGAGGATTAAAAGAAGGGGAAAATAAAGGCATGTAACCAGACAATGAGAAGATCACTCTACTGTCCTCCAGACAGCCCAAGTGCTCCAGGTGATCCGTTGCACGAAGCAAAGAGAAAGCTCCAGGCTGCGTGCAGAGTATTTAAACATTTTACCCCTCCCACCAAAATTGCAACATAACTTTTACCCCAGCAACCCAGTGAACCAATCACTGCCCAGGCCATCTTTAGAGACCCTGCCTGGTAACAGAGGGGTGGCTCAGCAGACCCCACCGCAACACGTGCTCTCCATGAAGGAGAACACGCTTTGTCAAAGCCATGTGTTAAAATGGTTTGATTCAAATGTGTGTGCACGCGCGGGGGGGGGGGTCACCTTTCTTTAACAAACTGCTTTTAGTTTTGAGTCATTATCTTCAGAAATATTTACTCAGAGACCTGTTTAAGTTTCTAGCATTATTTGTATCCAGTTTTGTTGTAGAGAAATTCACAGGAGACCATGTCTGATCTGGGATTATGCTGCATGTTTTCAAAACTTGGCAAGATGTTTTTGAAATTATAGAGACCCGAGACAACTTTGAAGTTGGATAAACTATAATCCTCGACTAAAATCAATGTAAGACTCAAGGTTTAGATACAAATCATATACAATACATTTCACACATAAAATAAACCGAAAGGGAAGACCGCAATACAGAAACTAATCCCAGATCTCTAGAGTTTGCAAATATTGGTTTATTCTCTGATGGATATGTTATAGCTTTTCAGTGACCACTTTTCACGATATCTATGAAACCAGCTTTGTGCTCTCCTTATACACAGGGGCTTTCCAGCCCCCCTTATAGTGGAAGTCCCCAGGAGGTCAAAAGTCCCGTCTCCCTGTTCCTATGATCCCTGGGCAGGATGAGCCTCCCCCCCCCCCAGGCCAGGTGGAAAGGGCCTCCAGCACTCACAGCTGGTATTTTATGATATTGAAAATATTAATTAATAAAGTATATTGAAAAAATAAAAATAGCAACAGCAAAAAGTCCAACCTCAAGAGCTGGAGCCACTCCCCAGGACTACTTGAGTTGTGTGGGAAGGAACCTGAAGGAACTGTTGCCCCTCCCTCCATTCATGACCCAAAGCATGTTTTGATCACTCCTTTTTTGTGTGAATCTTACCCGTATGAAACTATCTTTAAGGTCTGTCATATGACAGTCCTTGAACATTTATTTCCCCTTTTCCATGAAACATTTATCTTTCTGCACTCTTTCTATAAGATGACTAACTAAGTATTTCTCAAATTAAGTATCCACTTTTTAAAAACTATCCAAGCTCTTTCAAAAAATGACCATTTTCCAGTCTAATCCTCCACATGTTACTTTTTCTTCCTCACTGTGTTGCCTTGAACAGGAATACAGATGAGGTGGGCGGCATCCTTTCAAAATGTCTTGTGAAAATAGAGGCTTCAGCTCAAGCGGTTTGTTTCAGTCTGAACCACTAGACAATTTAGCCCTCTGACCTGGAGAGCAATCACTGAATAGAAATGCATCATGCGGGTCAATTTCTTCTCTGCTTTGGTTTATGGTATTGACATGTGTATGGGGGTATTATTTGCTAGAACAGAAATAAGAAAAGAAAAACTGGTGAAAGTGAGGAAGGCCATGGAAAGATAAGCTTCCAGTCAACAAATAACTACTGTTTCACAATGGCTTAAATCAGACATGCATATGCCAATGTACCATTCTAAAATAAAATACTAACTGAAGTTTGAGGTTTCTCATTAAGTGAAACTTGAGGGATTTTTTTTAAAAATGCTTTTTAACCCACACTTGCAATAAAGAGGTGAATCACTTGCCATTGGGTGAGGCTTGCTTATTTCTAATTCACACATCCCACCAGAGTGGGGGGCAGAATTGGATCCTACTATACAAAATAGGCAAGTACTTATTCCTGTTGGACTGACAGCAAGGAAAAATTAAAACAGAAGCAAATCAGAAAGAACATGGAGTTATATATCTTTTCTAGGCAGCTCCTACTTTCTTCCTTCTTTCTTCCTACTGTCTTCTTTCACCTGCTTAATGGACTTTATGAAGGTTAACAATCCACCCCACACTTTTCGAGAGCTGCATTTCCCTTGTTCTGGGGACTTCCTCTGCACAGAAGTTGCTGTGCTTCAAGGGCATTTCCAGTTCAACTTGCTTCACTTCATCTCCTTTCCTAAGGCTCTATCCAGAGTTACACCAAACTTCTGCCTGGAATGCAGGAGGGATCCTGCCGGATCAGACCAAGGCGTATCAAACCCACCAGCCTCTTTTCCACAGTAGCCAGCCACATGCGACCTCTGGGAAATGCACCAGAGTCACCTCCCTTCGCCCAGAAGTGGCCTAGTCCTGCTGGCCACATGACCCGGAAAGCTGTCTGCCTGCTCCCTCGGCCTGAAGCAAGATGAGCGCTGCACCCCAGAGTCGCCTTTGACTGGACTTAACCATCCAGTGGTCCTTTACCTTTACCTTTTGATTCTACAGTTTGTGTGATTCTAATTTTCCGCATTCTTTGAAAGGTTGCACATTTGGGGCAAAAAAGAATTCTAATAGGATGGATGTTAAAGCATTTATTATCTATTCTGCAGATCACAGAAAAATGAAGCATGAATTATCAGATTGTTAATGCTGCAGATATAGAAAACTGCTCCCCACTGAGGTAAAAACTCAATTCAATATTTATGAAGTTCGCATTTTCAAAAACCTCCAAATTAATTAGGGAGGTTTCTATAAATAGTCAAGATTTAATAACTATTCATTATTTACCTTCTTCAGAGAGAAATAATAATACATGGAAATATCATTTACACTCTGAAATGGAGAACAAAAATATTTGCACTCCCTTTTCATCAGTTTCATGTGCAAATGCAAAGCTGTTAATTATTTAGATTAGGTATAGGCAACTGACAGCCTGGAAGCTCAACGTGGCTGTCAGAGCTGCCCTGGATCCCAAAGAGACCCTGCTCCATCCTTAAACGATGCAAGCCAAGATACAAACAGAAAGCTGTTTCCTGCTTCTATTCCTATGCGGTCCTGTTGTCAGATACTCAACAGGGGGCTTTTCTCCACTTCTTCTTATACTGCTGCTTTTGCCCAGGGAAAACCACTCTTGGATGCTCCGTCAGAGCAAATGGCATTTGGGGTTTTCTCTGGGTTGAAGTTTGCCCTGATGTAGAGCTAAAGAGCAGGTTTTCCCTGGGAAAGGATTGGGACAAGGGGAAGACTGCTTGGGCCTCTGCTTTCTAGAAATGGGGCAAAGATAAGTGTGGATGAGCCCTAGGATGGGGAAGGTTCTGGATCAAACAGAAACTCTTTTCTAGAATACAGCTATGAATCACCGTGGCTCCATGCCCTCCTTTTCTGCAAATGCCCTGGTTCAGTTCAGTCACTCTCTACACAGCAGGAGACTTAGACCAATACCTCATCTACTGCATATTTTGGAAAGTCTCTTTCTGCCTATTCTCTGTCGATATGGAAACCCCTTGGAATGTGTCTCTTCACAAATAATTTAGAAACATTTACAATGTACAACCTTTTCTTGCTGCTGTATGGAAAAGCACATGAACCAGACCTTTGGGAAGTTTGTAAGTAAACCATTTTTAACTTACCCAACTTGTGACCTCTCTATGCTAAGGAAAGTGGGGAACTTTGGAAGAAACTTAGAAGATATTTTAAATGTCTAACAGCCTATCTTTCCATGCTTGGCTTCGCTGCATATTTTGTGATTTTAATTGTCTGCTGGGGCTCACTCACCAAATAGTATTTGCCCCAAACCTGGATTTAGGCATTCGATAAATTTGTCTTTTATTTTACCATATCTATTTTTCCTTTTAACTAAATTAACAAACACTTTCTTCTCTTTTTGTACCAGTGGCCATAATCCAGAAGGGACATATCCCAGATACTGTGGATGAAAACAGTGTATGTTTTGTATGGATTTATAGTACCAAGTAATGAGAGGGTTTAAAATCAATAGGATCTGCTTTATTGCTATGTGCAGTCATAGCTGTGAAGTGCAAAGAGGACAGGTTAATTAATCCATGTTTGTCTCCACTGCATTTATTTGAGGATTCTGAACGTTAGGCTGCAAGTCCTAGTTGCTTATAAATGCCTGAGATGAACAATAAACAGATATCAATATCTCAAAATTGAGCAGCAACAGAGGTCACTCCCTGATCTCTGGAAATCTTTCTTAAATAAAAATTAGGAAATTCTGAAGATGTCATTTGCACTGAATAAACAGAATTTGAGGAAGCAAACTCACAACTTTTGTTCTTTTAATCTGCACAATCCAGTGCCTGTGATGGCAAATCAAGGCATTCCTTGATTGTTGTTGTTCAAGGCATTCCCAAGTTTCTAGGTCCCATAAAAGGCATAGAACTCATTATTCCTTAGGTTGGTGCCATCCGTTACAGAGAAATTCTATGCATTTCTTGTCAAATGAGATCAATGAGAGTGACTCCCAGGATAGCGTGCATGGAGTGGCAGTCTCAAACACAACAATTTGGTTTTGGCTACATTTGTTTTTATGTGGTCCATGTTATTTTACAACCACCTTAACTGAAGGGTTATATAGCATCCCAGGCCCCATTCAAAGCCATGTTCAGATGCTCCCCCGGAACCCTTCTCTGCTGAGGAGTGCAGGCAATCCCTTTTATTCTTGAGTAGTATGGTGAGATTGGGGTTGCAGGTATGCTTGGCTGAGCCTGAACCTTCTAGCAATGAGGCTGCCAAGGCCTGGGGATGGTTCACACTATTTTGTGGCACTTTTGTTGATATTTAATGTTACTGCATACTATTATATTCAAATGGATTATTGAATATTGTTTTCTTTGATATAGGTTGTTTATTTTAAAATTATTGTGACTTTTTGTATTGGATCATATTGGTATTATGTGTGTGATCTTTCTTGTCTATTTTGTTGTTTATTTAGCTTGTAAACTGCCTTGGGTATATATAGAAAGACGGTATACAAATTAAAAATGAAATGAAATGAAATAATGAAGGTATTGTCCTAGTATATTTGAAAATACAAAAACACTCAACACTTGAGCCTTACAAGTGGAAGGAGAAAAGATGCACTTTGAAGTTTGATGATTACATCTCCCTAACTGCTAGGTAATACTACACGCTACAGTTCGTACTGTTATTGGTTTTTTAACTATGTAAGCCTCTTCTATATTTTAACATATTAAGCAT